AATAAAATAGTCGTTCTCCGACAGGAATCGAACCTGTATCCTATACGGAACCGTCATATAGCCTGACGTGTCTTTAACCGTTTCGGCCACAGAGGAGCGTTCGGTTATATGACGGTTCCGTATAGGATACAGGTTCGATTCCTGTTGGAGGACGAAAATTTTCTATGAAGATTTCTCGGACATTCAGGCCGGTAAATGTTGCTTAATACTGTTTATTATAAAACAGAGCTTTTACTTAATTATTTGTATCTATAAAAAGAATGTATAAACATAAAAATGTCTTAAAATAATTGTCGGACTTTGTCCATTTCATAATGTGTGACGTCATTTATTTACATTTGATACGCCATGTGCAGATATGAATGTACGTGAGAGATTCATGGAAGGTTAAAGTTTAAAGACAGTAAAATCGACCTTGCTAACCGAACGCTCCTCTGTGGTCAAAGCGGTTAAAGGCACGTCAGGCTATATGACGGTTCCGTATAGGATACAAGTTCGATTCCTGGCAAAGGACGAAAATTTTCTATGAAGATTTCTCGGACCTTCAGGCCGGTAAATGTTGTTTAATAGTGTTTATTATAAAACAGAGCATTTACTTAAATGTTTGTATCTATAAAAAGAATGTATAAGAATGTCTTAAGATAAGAGTTTCTTCTTGCTTCCCTTCAAGATTGATCTTCAAAAATTTGAATGCTATGTCCATCGTTATCTTCTGTCTTCATAGTTCTTGTTCTTTTATTGGTATCTATTCTTGATAATGCTTTTCTTTTTCTCCTATTCTCTCACACTCAGTAACCCCTTGTGTCTTAGTGGTTTTATTACCTTACTTGGGGTGAAATGATTAAAAACAGAAAAAAAAAAGACAAGGAAAAATCAACAGACCAAGTTTCAAAACGAGTCCACCAACTTGTGGATAACACGCCAATTTTTCCCATTGTCGTTTGTCAAACGTTATCCACAAGATATTTTGTTTGTCGCCATTTTCTTTGGAGGACATTCAAACCAAGACCGAAGCAAAAATTACCGCTTTTCTTTATCCGGATAACCTTCACAAAACCTTGATTATCTCGCGAAATCTCGCACATTCTCAGTCTTTTATTCGACAAAGAGAAGTTTCGTAGTGTACACAATGATATGCCACTTAATTTGTTGCGATGTCACATTATGTCAGAATATAAGCTTACACCTCACTATCGACGATCAAGATGATAAAACTATGGTTCCAATGCCAATTTTCGAATTTCTAAATTAGCTAGAAGCAGGAAAACTAATACCGATACCAGAAGAAGAAATGTCGTTTAAGAAACAGTGTACAAGACTTACCGAAAAAGTTTTGAGTCTATTCATATCTGTCTGTCCATCTACTGATACCAGAACAATTCCTCGAGATAATGGCACATGAAAATTCCATAATATTAATCATGAATGCTACGATGCGTTAATGAGTAACAGAGATTGATAATCCAAGATGATCTCAGTAATAGCATTTTCATTAGTACTGCAGCATCAAAGCCGCCATTTTATTGTCCATCCTAATTTGAAGACGAGAAATGTTTAAACTCCAATGCGTGCGCGCGTGCGCGCGTGCGCACACAAATGCACACGAATAAAAAAAAAACAAAGCGCTAAAAATGTAAAATAGTCTAATTCTGTTGGTACAATATTCTTAGTGAACTCTCGGCAATGTTTAACAAACGTATCCCCCCCCACAATTTTTTTAAATACAGAAACAAAACAAAATACATGTGTTTCAAAAGGACGTTTTTTTCTCGTGACTATTACAAAATACGTCCTTGGCGATTTATATTGTTAAAAGAAAGAAAGAATTTTAATAAACTAGATTATATATTTTTCCGCTCTCAACCGATTTCAATGAATTCATGTGGCCAGAGCAAATTAGAGAAATATCACAAAGATGCATTTTTTTAAAGTTTATAAATTAAAGTAACTCATCATTCTATGTTTATTTAAATTGTCTTGTTCTTTTGTTCACAGATATTATAAATATAAAATTATTCTTGTAAATAAACAATATGGCCCAGTGGATAAAAGCGTTGATCCAAAATTGATTTGACCCAAAAACTTGTGAGTCCAATACCTGGCCATAACAGAGAGAACAACTTGACTAAAAACTTGTGAGTTCAAAATCCGGTTATAGCAGAAAGAACAGAAACTTGGTGAGTTGAGTTGTCAGAGGGAATTAACTAAAGGTATGGCACGTGGAATTAGAACAATCTACCCCGCGTAGACTAAATATTCATTTCGAAATTCCAACAAATATCACCTGAAGAAGGCCAGAGCCCCCGACGTCCGAAACGTCGTGAATGTGGCAATAAAGCTGGGGACAACAGTTCGAACAGTGTAAATAAACAATCTACTATTTTTGTTGTCAATTCCCCAGAAAATAGAAAGGGAACATTCAGTTTCATCGCTTTAAGCATTATTAAAAGTCTAAAAATGGCTTTTTAAAACAATAAATATTGTCAAAGAATACCGGTGTCAAGAAAAAAGAAACACATTTTACATACACCTTTTTTTCAGGTGTGTTATTAAATTTTGACGACGTTTTTGGGGAATTGTTTATTGGGGCAAGCAAATCACTTAATCTTAAGTAAAGAATTAATAAAACGTGAGTATTTGTTGAAAGTATCGCTATTTCAGTTTGTGATGAATTTGTCGATGCTGGTTGACTGATATCATAACATGTCAATGTAGTTTATATAATGTCGAATGTTTGTGCTGGAACTCACCACTCAGTAGCAGTGGATTAACCAGACTACACTCGGCAACCATTGTCCAAACGCCGAGGAATTCCTGGGTATGACGATAAACTACATCCGGCAGCAAGGCCTCTGATCGGGAGATTGGAGATTTTGAGCAGCATAAAACTACCTCTTAATTGATGTTGCACCCAGGTCCACCCTGACCTGGGGTTGTAGCATCTTTGAGGGTTCCAACTATGGGCAAATAGTGAACTCCCAAACCGAAACAAAACACAAAGTATAAAATTCATTTTTATAGTAAAATTACAAAAATAATTATTTATAGTAAAATTACCATCATTACATTTTTAAAGGAAAATGACCAGCAATACAATTTTACAGAAAGATTACCAACAATACACTTTATAGCAAAATGACCAACAATACATTTTATCTGTAGTTGAAGATATACAATTGTGTTCAAAATATATTTAGTTGAAACCATAAAATTGTGTTCAAAATAATTAGGTTTCGGCATTAAAAAACCCATAGAGCTGTTGATATACCGCTAAATAATCTACCAACCAACATGAAAGAACTCTTTAATGATATTAATCCATATATCCTACAAACTCTTAAAAGAAATCGAACTGTATTCCAAAATGTTAGGTTAACAAAACTACAACATAAAAAAGAGATAGCTGACATCTGGCAATACTTAACAAGGAAAAAGATTTGGAGAATCTAACACTCAAAGGACACGTGGTGAAGCCAAGGAAAGCGCTGGGTAACCGGTTGGACAAATTTGAGCAATGGATGGGGTAATGGTAATGGTAAGATTAATTTACAAGGAATTATTTGGTATCCATAGTAGCATCGAGAAATTATTGCTGTTGTTGTTGTTGTTCTTCTTCTTCTTTGTGAAAGCCAAACCCCTTCTTCTCCTTCTTCCTCCTCTTCTTCTTTCTTGTGAAAGTCAAATTCTTTTTTATTCTTCTTCTTCTTCCTTGTCAAAGCCGAATCTCTTCTGTTTTGTTCTTTTTCTTCTTCATTTTGAAAGCCAAGTCCCTTGTTCTTCTTCTTCTTCTTCTCCTTCTTCTTCTTCTTGTCAAAATGAATCTCTTCTGTTTTGTTCTTTTTCTTCTTCATTATGAAAGCCAAGACGCTTCTTCTTCTTCTTCTTCTTCTTCTTTTCTTCTTCTTTTCTTCTTCTGTCAAAGCCGAATCCCTTGTGTTTTGTTCTTTTTCTTCTTCATTATGAAAGCCAAGACCCTTCTTCTTTCTTTTCAAAGCCAAATCCCTTCTTCTTCTTCTTCTTCTTCTTCTTCTTCTTCTTCTTCTTCGTGAAAGCCACATCTCTTCTTTGTTGTTCTTTTTCTTTTACATCTACGTTCAGCTCCTAACACACAAATCGGCGTCTTCCTTGTAAATCCTTTCTGCTATCTTATTTTTCTTCTTATTATTACATAAAGAAAGCACCTCCCCACCAAAAGTGGGACAGAAAAGCGCCCAGCTCAATCGGCATCTCATGATCCGTAGTCATATAAGGGGATATGTAACTGAACAAAAGTTTGCTCAGTATTGTTGCAGTAAAAAACACAGGTTGGTTCTGAACAAACTTGGTTGAACAAGGATTTGCAACAAGTATTAGATAACCATCCTAACAGACGGGTACAGTTCGAATCGAGCAGCCAGTCATAAGATACATATATTCTATGCATGAAATGGTGCTTTATAACATTATTCTTGCACAACATTTCAGCTCTAAAAGTGGGTTGAACATTCAACCCATCATAAGACGAATATCACAATCTTCTGGCAAAGTGACACATGTGCAACGTTCGTAATTGTTGAAACTTGACTAATGCATGGAATAATAATGCAACACAAAATGTACTTAGAACAAAATGTATTGAAACAAGAAAGTGTACACAATATTTACATATAGTCTTTTGTATATTCCTGGTAAGACCGTTCCTGGAGAATGTGTTGACTCCTCTCTTCCCGGTGCCAACCATATTTATATGGTCGGTACTCCACTATGCAAATTAGGTGGATCCTACCACAATAGTAATATTGGATTAAAAGAAGAAACTTTAAGCCTTAATGTACGTTGTCGGTAAATCGGCGCGATTTTCCCATTTTAAGGAGAATTATCAAAGAGCTTATGAATATATAATCCTCATTCGATGAATAATCGATGAATTAAAATTTGTTTTTGTTTTATTTATTTCCAGAATGCATATTTGTTGATGAAATATTAATGACCCATCCCACCAGGGGTTGACGTCATGGTGGTCAGCGCCGCAAAGGAGATCGACGAACCGAATTTGAACGCATGTACACAATACAATTTTGCTGCAGTTCCTTTGGGAAAGGAACCGAATAGCCATCTTGTGATCTGTTCCAACTCTGGATGAGGGAGTGATTGAGTAAGCCTTGGGTAAAACAACTCTCCATGAACCACCTTACATACGTAAGCAGCAGCTGCAGTAAATACGTTAAAATAAAACCCCCAAAACACAATAGCAGTTGAAACGACGTTAAATCTTGTAAAATGAGATCTCCCGTTTTATGAAGGATGCGAATTTTTTTTTTTAAATTAATAATAAAACGAAGATGACAATGACCTATATTTATTAAGATATCAAATAAATTCTGTTTGTCTGCCTGTCTGTGTGTGTGGGTGTTTGTGTGTGTGTGTGTGTGTGTGTGAGAGAGAGAGAGAGAGAGAGAGAGAGAGAGAGCTGTGTGTTGGTATAACAGATATCAGTAAAGAAAATGAGTACAAATGGTACTCAGATAGATATATACGAGTAAAACGGGATAGATAAATATTAACATAGATAGATAGATAGATAGATAGATAGACAGATAGATAGATAGGAACAGACTGAAATAGATATAAAGAGAACAGACTGTGATAGATATGAACAGGTGTAGATAGATAGATAGATGTGAATGAAACGAGATAGATAGATAGATAGATAGATAGATGTGAATGAAATGAGATAGATACATAACATACATACATACGTATGTACATACATACATAGGAACATATTGATATAGATATATAGGAACAGACTGAAATAAATATGAATAGAACATATTGAGATAGATATGAACAGCGTAGATAGATAAATAGATAGATAGAAACTGTGACAGATAGATAGATAGATAGATAGATAGATATGAATAGACAGAAATAGAGATGAACATATAGATATTACGACTGAAATAGATACGAACGATTTGAGACAGATATTTGAATAAACTGAGATTTAGAGCGAGAGACAGACAGATGTGAACAAACTGAGATAGATAGATAGATAGATAGATAGATAGATAGATAGATAGATAGATATGAAAAGAACAGATAGTTGGATAGATATTTTTTATACTAATGTCCACCCAATAGAAGACCCAAGAGCTACTCAAGGTAGATGTTTATTATGCAATGTTGCGAAAAGCTAAGAAGTGCAGTTCCCGGCAACGGTTAACCGTAGACTTGAAGAGGTGCAGATTTCAGTGACCGGGAAAACATCATGCCAGGAGTCTACTCCACAAAGCAGCAGTTCTTGTGAAGAATTCGTCCGAATGGAACTTACAAAGGGAATGTGGGTAATT